CGTCAACTCAGTAACTAAAATGTTAGAGCTTGTAATTACATCAACTCAGTAACTACAATGTTAGAGCAACTAATTACGTCAACTCAGTAACTACAATGTTAGAGCAACCAATTATGTTAACTCAGTAACTACAATGTTAAAGCAACTAATTATGTTAACTCAGTAACTACAATGTTAAAGCAACTAATTACGTCAACTCAGTAACTACAATGTTAAAGCTACTAATTACGTCAACTCAGTAACTACAATGTTAGAGCAACTAATTACGTCAACTCAGTAACTACAATGTTAGAGCAACTAATTACATCAACTCAGTAACTACAATGTTAAAGCTACTAATTACATTAGCTCAGTAACTACAATGTTAAAGCAACTAATTATGTTAACTCAGTAACTACAATGTTAAAGCAACTAATTATGTTAACTCAGTAACTACAATGTTAAAGCTACTAATTACATCAACTCAGTAACTACAATGTTAAAGCAACTAATTATGTTAACTCAGTAACTACAATGTTAGAGCAACTAATTATGTTAACTCAGTAACTACAATGTTAAAGCAACCAATTATGTCAACTCAGTAACTACAATGTTAAAGCTACTAATTACGTCAACTCAGTAACTACAATGTTAAAGCTACTAATTATGTTAACTCAGTAACTACAATGTTAGATCATACATATATTTAAAAACATCTTACACAGAAATTGGCATCCAAACATCTGGCGAATTTCTCCATTATTACACTACTTCTTCAGCAATATTAAAAATATTTCTTAAACATGCAATTATCAAACTGGATAAATGGTACATCGGATATGTCATCTGAACAAGATTTTTAACCCAGTATTATCCAAAGCATGTAACTTGACAAATAAAACTATATGGACATTCGCATGAGTTTCACCACTGATTCTGGTGTCGTATTCAAAACTGTTCATTATTAGTGACTGTGCTATTATTTCCCCAAACATTTGGAGAGAACAAAAAATCCGATTTCTGGGCGGCTTTCATTGTTGAAGTTTAGGATGTTATCTTCAACCACACACCATTTATTTATTTGGCAACAAATAAGCAATATTTGTTTTCTACGTGGCCTTCGAGGTCATCTCAGCCTTTATAAACAACTTAACCAGCGAGTCAGTCCAAAAAAATCGACCAGAAAATCTGGTGAGCTTTTATAATCATGTACTAACTAGATACAAACTAAACCTAGTACGATATCGAGATGAAAGTGCGTAACCGTTAGGTTTGGCATTTCTAATGGAACACAGTATAAAAAACTTGAAAGAATGTTGAGGTAGGAAACTGCACATAATAAATAACATCGATGCCATAAAATTTAAAAGTTTAAATGCTGAAAGCAGATGAAACATTAAAAATCAGTAAACCTAAAATTTGTGATAAATATCATGCATGAATAGAATTTCAGAAAATTCGTTGACTCTCATCGTATAGCTTGACTGTTTAGTTATGGTGTTGAACAAAAAAACCATTTGAGCAGTGACTTGTGAAACACAAAAGATATTCCTTTTTTGGAATCCAAAATGGACAAATTATGAGCAACATATAAAAAAAGATGAAGTTTACATGATTTTATTACAAATTTTAGAACTAACATTAATATCATTTGGAAATATGCATTTTCTATTAGCATGAAGTTTCAGGCATAACATCCTTTTTCATGTGCATTAAAGCCAGCAGGCCCATTAGGGCACTCGAATCGCAATCTGAGGGTCGCGGGTTCGAATCCCCGTCACACCGAAACATGCTCACCAGATGTCTGAACTAGGACGTCACTCCTATTCCCGGATACTCACCTCCAACAGAACTGGGAGGTGTGAGAAACACCATACAAAACTACTAAACTAAAGCCAGCACCACAAACCAAAACGAGCTAAAAGTTTTATTATAAAAAAATACTACGAAATTAGAATTTGTAGAAAAGGCATGTACAAACATTATAAATTAATAATTACAAATAAATGTATAACATTATAATTTATTTGTTAATTAAAAAATGATAATGATTACCACAGCTAATTTAAATTACAATAGAATTAATTTACAGCTTCTGAACATACATAATTAAAATAACATTAAAAACAATGATAATTTTATTTGGGTTTGATAACATTCAGGTCCTAAATTTTGTAGCAGCTTATAACATGATAATTAAAAGATCTGTACCAAATACAGATAAAGTAAGCATGCTAAGATCAATCAAAATTACAAGTATATTAATAAACTAATTAAAAACTAAAGCTAGTTTATGAAAAAAAAAAAAATAAGTAAATAAAAATCTATCATTCACAATGCTAGATGTTATTCAGCCGAGTTTGTATATAATTCTACATTTGGCCCGTTGATTTAACATCTGAGGCTCAAAGTAATGCTATCAAACATGTATTTTAATACTTGTAATATTTTTTTACAGTATAATGGAATCAAACATTCTCGTTTTAAGACATTAATACCCCTAAAGAAGTGTTCTGTCTAAAACATCACACTAATAAAAATAAATATTTCTAGTTTTTAACAATATCATGCTGTATCTGTTAATAATAAAAACATAGTCCAAGTACAAATCCTTAATTATTGCTTGTATGACTACAAAATTAATGTTCTGAAAATCTCATTTCCGATGAAGCAAGGTCGCATGCGATCAATAATAAAAAAATCAAAGCTTCATAAAGAGTTGTTCAGTACATAGAAAGAAAAATATGTAATAGTTTTAAAGCACAAATGTTTTTGTTGTTTCAACAGTAGCTACATGTAAAAGAGATACAGTGCAAAAAAAAAAAATTTTAAGTACTTTTATAGCTCATATGAAAAAAACAATTTAACACTGACATCACCAGCCATGGGTACAGTTTCTTGTTGGTTTTTTTTATTATTATTTTTAGCCACTTAAAATAAGCCACAATTTTCAGCCCACCACCATTGAAATTATTGTCTACCTGAGTACCAACCCCCCCAAAAAATGTGACTGGCACCACTGTTGAAATTTTAGGCTACCCGAGTACCTAGTACTCAACACAAAGTCTCATACACTATGGGATGTGAAAAGAACAGTAAGGTTAGAAAATATAAAATCTGTTCCAAGTGTCCTTGTTGGCAATGTTCTTGTGGTGGTTCAACTTCCAAGTGTTCTTGTTGGCAATGTTCTTGTGGTGGTTTAACTTCCAAGTGTCCTTGTTGTCAATGTTCTTGAGTGGTTTAACTTCCAAGTGTCCTTGTTGTCAATGTTCTTGTGGTGGTTTAACTTCCAAGTGTCCTTGTTGTCAATGTTCTGGTGGTGGTTTAACTTCCAAGTGTCCTTGTTGGCAATGTTCTTGTGGTGGTTTAACTTCCAAGTGTCCTTGTTGGCAATGTTCTTGTGGTGGTTTAACTTCCAAGTGTCCTTGTTGGCAATGTTCTGGTGATGGTTTAACTTCCAAGTGTCCTTGTTGTCAATGTTCTGGTGATGGTTTAACTTCCAAGTGTCCTTGTTGTCAATGTTCTGGTGATGGTTCAACTTCCAAGTGTCCTTGTTGTCAATGTTCTTGTAATGGTTTAACACCTGAAGTTAAGTTAAAACGAAAAGCGGGAAGGAAACAGCCCTTCAGCAAATGAAAAACTCTATCATCTGCTGGATCATTGAACTGACCTTTGACAAGAACAAAGAACTTATTAAGCACTTTCACGAAGCATATCCTGATAAAACACTGCAAAAAGATTTTCCAATGGAAGCTCAAGTGGTTTTGTTCATCTCACGAGTTAGACAAGAGTTCAAGGAATCCCAAATGTATTTTTACCCACTAGTTGATACTAATACTACTGAGAGTTCGATGTCTTACAACTCTACAATAAAACACATTTTTTCAACAAATATTACACAAATCTTTCTCTCAGCCTGACAGGCTGAAATAATACATAATAACAGGATTCTGGTATGGGTGATTTTTAGCACCAAAATCCTGGTACTACAAGCAATAACCCTGGTTGGCAATGTCATTGTTAATAATAAAACTCCCATATACTTTTAAAAAAATTAACCATGAACAAATAAATGAAATAACTGTTTGATGTTTTGACTATTTGTGAATATTTTTCACTGTATTCTAATATACATCAATCACTTTAGCCAGAAGAGCAGACAATTCAATAACTTATTAGTCACTAAAAGCTTTAAACTCAACTGCTGTTGGTTATTCTACGACTATAAGCTGTTAGTATCCTTGACACATTGTTCATGGTACAGGTTGACTCGGCCATAGCAGCATGCAAAGTGGAAGGTAAGGAGATAAAAATGTTACCTACCAAATCAAGCATTAAGATCATTTCCCTATGCTTCTGCAATTCCTGGAAGCAAAGGGAGGAAAATTGAGATCATCAGATGGTATACCAGCATAAAGTAGATCATAACAACAGTTATAACACGTCTTTAAATACACTGGCATGGTGAGTTTTATTTTCCTTTATTATAAAGTTACCTAGCTAATACATTCCTTCCCACTTCTTTGAAAAACAAAAACAACTGATTATGCCAATAATATTTTTGAAATATCTTTAATGAAACAAGAAACCTCACAAACAGACAGCATGGATCACTTACCTGCTCCCTCAGAATAGCAGCTTGTTGTTTTTTCATCTCTCTCTCCTGAAAGATATAATAAAATATCTTTAAGTAAAGGAAGTTGTGCAAAACGTAGATAAAGTTAACGAGAGCAAACTACAGAGAATATTTTACATAAATACTTCTGCTTCCACTGACATAAAACTGGTAAAACACGACAGTAAAACAACCAATCTTCTTTTTGGTTCTGTTTTTGTTGATAAATATTATGTGTGGTTATGTTTTCTTCTATACTCAAACAAGTTATATATTGTTTTGAAAGACATCCTTGACCTCAAAATCAATAGGGTTCTTTCCCACCCAAAGGAAAGTGGTCCAAGAAGTTTGATTAAATTTTGGTATCATGCAGAAAGTAGATGTCTATGAACAGATAGACAATGTCATCAGTATAAAAACAAGAAACATTAGTCACATCTTACACAGTACAATCTAAATAACTTATGAATTACTATACAGAAAAAAAAAAATGTACGACAGAATTTACCAACCTTGGCCTTGCGTTCAACCTCTTCCCTGTATTGTCTCTCTAATTCCTCTTTTCGACGTCTACGGTCCTGATCGTATGATAACATACACAGACAAGACCACAAAACTTAACTTTAACTTATGAACTGTTGATGACCTAGTAATATCTAAACAATAAAGCTACATGTGATATAAAATAATTTCACAAACATGTAACCAGATGTTTAAATTATAAAGACAGGCTATTCTAACCTCTCAGAAATTAGTCAATAGTTAAGGCAGATGCTGACAGAATTAAATAGTAATTCTGGTTCAGTTGTATGTTTCAGATATTCATACAAAGCTACACAAGGGCTATGTACACCTGCCATTCTTAGGTTTAAATTGATACAATAGAGGAAAAGCAATCAGTCAACTCTAATCAAATACTGAGATTTCATTCTCACTATTATAATACAGAGCAAGGTTTTATAGATTTTTTTTCCAGCAACAGGACATAAACCACAGACCTATAAATTCACAGTCTGGCATGCTAACAAGTTGGCCATGCATAGTCCAAATATAAATACATATTGGATTATAGCTTAACAACAGAATCAATTAATTGTACCACTACTATTGAACCTCTAACCTAATGAGCACATGTTCAATTAAATATCAAGTAAATCACTGAAAGAATTTTTTTTTTAAGTTACCTCTATAAATTGTTTAGCCTTCATTTCCTTTTCAAGACGCACCTGTTCCAATCGCTCAAACTTTTCTTGTTGCTTCACAAACTTTTCATGTTCCTTCTGACGTAATTCTTCTGCTAGAGAAAAACAAAACAATTCAATGAAGTGTGGTAATTCAAGGATATACCTGTACACAGTTACCTGATCTTGACAAATATGTGAGGTTTGTGGATCCAATAAGTGGAAGGAAAAGTGCAGTAGATATACCTGTACACAGTTACCTGATCTTGACAAATATGTGAGGTTTGTGGATCCAATAAGTGGAAAGAAAAGTGCAGTAGATATACCTGTACACAGTTACCTGATCTTGACAAATATGTGAGGTTTGTGGATCCAATAAGTGGAAAGAAAAGTGCAGTAGATATACCTGTACACAGTTACCTGATCTTGACAAATATGTGAGGTTTGTGGATCCAATAAGTGGAAGGAAAAGTTCAGTAATTTGTTGGGCAATGATTCTGAAGTAGATCAAAAGAGACCAAACGTTGAGTTCAAGTTTGAAGCAAAATAAAC